CTCAACATCAACACAAGCATTCATCATAAAAGAAGCCATCACATTCATGAACAAGATGAAAAGAAAAGCTTACGATTAATACCAAATCCAAAGTCGATGAATCAACGAGCTATCCAAATCCAAAGCTAGAAAATAAGTTTAAATCCTCCAAAAATCCAAACCAAGATGAAAAATAAAGAAAAAGTAATGTTCTAGGGTGATAGATCCCTGAAAAACGAAGTCTGGCTCTGTTTTTATGCCCTAGGCTCGATTATTACCCTTTCCAAATTCAAAATCCGCGAAAAACGCCATCGGTTACAAGCAGGGGAAAGCGGCGCTATGGTCATAGCGCCGCTATGGCTGAGATACCCCCGAGCTGCAGTCCCTCGCTAAGCTGCATAGCGCCGCTTCTTTTCTGTCCATAGCGGCGCTATGGCCATAGCGGCGCTATGGCCTAAAATGCTCTTCTGTCCCTCGCTTTGGTTCACAGCGCCGCTTTCTCAACAGGCCATAGCGGCGCTATGGTCATAGCGGCGCTATGGCCTGGGCAGCTTCCAAAATTCCTCGACTTGGGCTCACGCGGTCTCGGCTAGCGTCCCTCGGGTCTATCTCGAGCTAGAAACTCAATCCTCGTATGCTCCAATCTCGCAAACGACACAGAACTCCTGGAGACCTGCAAACACCACCATCGAACAGACACAAAAGCAAGAGAAAATAGAAGAAATAACAACGAAAATGCTAAACACAACGAAAAATACTAAGAACTCGAGAATGACTAAAAAGGACCGGAAAATCCTAACAAAAGACCTAAAACGGGGGAAAACATCACACAAAATAGCAACGAAAATAGCAACAAAAACGGGACAAACAGTGGACGTAGGCACATTGCCGAACCACGTAAATCTTGTGTTGTTTACTTTTCTCGTTTTTTTTAATTCGTATGCCATATTGTCATCTTCACTCAACAAAATGGAATAAGAATTTACCCGTTAACCATTGACGAAAGCCACGAAACCTCCAAGTATCTCGTTTCTATACTTCACATACCACTAAAATCGCCTCTATGCGCCTGAAATCCGCCCCTTCTACCCAGTTTTTTAGAATTTGAGGGTGAAATCATAAATGTATTAGAAATGTTGGGGGTAAACTCAATTTTAGGAGTGAAAAATCGAGCCATGGAGAAAAAGTGTTGCAATATTTTTTTTCAATTTGGGGTGAACTCGATTTTTGTAAATGAAGAAAGGAGCAACAACATGGTGAACTCGATTTAGGTTAATTTGTAGGCATATGACGTGTTAAAAACATGGTGACGAGCTTAAAAGGTTGAGTATCACATGATCCTCATAAGTGCCACGTAAGATTCCTGATCCGACAAGTCAACAACGATTCGCCGGAAAATAGGTTTGAGACAAATGTGCAACACATAATAAAAGTTTGAAATTTATATGCAAAGATAAAAAGGTTAAATTTTATTTACAATTATACATAAACTTAGGATTTTATAAGCGATTAATCCTACTTATTTAAGAAAAAAAAAATACATATTATCAATTATGTTTTAAACTTTATACAATTTTCAATTTGACATCTGCTTGGGGACACTCCAATCACTCAAATTAGATAATATATAGAGCTATTTATGTTGCTTATCTAAAAATTTCTATTTATTGATATATTTATAAAGTTTATTATTTTAATTACAAATATACTATCTTCTAATGTTTATACATGTTAGTTTCAAAATTATATTATTTTTTTGGTTTATAGCTCACTTATGAACAATTCATTATATATATATATATATATATATATAGGGATTGGATCCAATGAGTCCACATATTTAAAGTGTGAGTGTGAGACTCATTACTAGCCATTAAATTGGTACATTATGTGTGGCTAAGATTAACTCTTCAATTAAATAATAATTCTTTATTTTTATTATATTAATTATTTAAATATTATTTTTAAAATTGACCATTGACTTCGGCGTTGACCGTTGACTTCCGGCATTGACCGTTGACTTCCGGCGTTGACTTCCGACGAAAATTGTTGACTTCCAGCGTTGACCGTTGACTTCCGTCGCTGCCTTTCAACATTGACCGCTGACCCTACATTGTGTATGAAGTAAATATGCATCAGTACTATGCACTTAATATGAACTAAATATGCATCAGAAATGAATTATATATGTTATCCTTATGAATTAAATATGCACCAATAATATCAACTATGTATGCACTGTTTATGTACTAAATATGCACATTTTACTACCTAAATATACATCATGAATGAACTAAATATGCAACGAAAATATGCAATAAAATACACATTTTATACAATTAAATTAAATATAATAATTAATGATTTTTATTATATAATTAA